GTAACCCGGCCCTTTTGAAAGCCCGGCGTCGTCGGGGTGGTCCTAATTGCCGGGATCGCCCCCATTCTCCGAGGGAGTAAGTCCGGTCTTTGCCAGGACCGGCCAGTCGCTGGTGTGCCCTGTCGCTGACAGATCCGGGGTACATCGACATAGCGGCCGATGGCTTTCGCAGTGGTTTTAGTGAGTAGGGGCCTGCCCAGGCCGAGCCTCACACATCCCTTCCGGCCCCACCAAGGTCGGTTGGACGGCTCGTAAAAAGAGTTTCCACTACGTCAACAAAAAAAAAAAAAAAAAAAGTATGTGTATGTATTTTATACCATATTTATTTCTAACACTCTTTATGTTTGTATAGGTATGTAAATTTGTTCCAATTGCCTTAATGATTATTACTAAAAGAAGAGATATTTTAGATTGGACAACAGTAATTACCTTCGCAGTAATATTATTTTTTTGTCTCCACAATATTTCGATGAGATGAAGGTATAAGATAAACAGATGTAGTTACATTTATATAACAGATACTTTGCTGACAAGTAATACAAGTATGTTAGTGCAGGTTGCAATTTTTTTTTAAGAAAGATTTTAAAATTTCTGTGTAATATAATTGTAAAGAAAATATAAAGGATTAATCAGCTCCAAAAACAAATACTCATATCACCAGTAAATTAGTTATATTAAAATTCACTTGGAAAAATATTTAGTAGTTTCGAAAAACTTCATTTAAATCACTAATTTAAAATGAAATTACGAACTTGTCTCAATAAATGAGTTAAAATTATAGTTGACAATTCTACCCAAATATTTTTTTTTGTGTAAAATTAAATGATTAAAAACCTAATTTTACTTAAAATCCAAAAAAAATACAGTTTCTTGTTAAGGGTTGGTACAACATCAGGAACTCCAAATTTAGGAAACAACCAAATTCAATGATTATTACAAAAAATGTGTTATATTCTGATATTACATGAATTACCAGTTAAAACAAATAGCGTGGGGCCAACAAACAGACATTTAAATTTTGTAATCATTTGTTTGTTTACAAAAAAATCAAAGGATACCTAATAGAACTATTGACGTCTTCAAAAGAAATCATTCAAATCCACATCTTCAGAGCAGATTCGTATATCCTTCAAATTTGAATACAAATTTAGGCAGGCACTTACATATACATTGTGTCCAAAATTTGTAAGTAAACTGTAAATCCTATATAAAACTTTTACGCAATTCAAATCTTTAAAAAAGGCCGACTACATATAAAATGAGGACTAAACCATAAAACTGTGTATCCCGAGAGTGTCACATTCAAAGAATTGAGGTTTGAGTTAGTATTAAAGTATTTCAGGCTCAGTCAGATCAAATTTACAGTCATTAATTTTCCCGTCACTTTTTTTATATATTTATATAGTATTAGTACAATAGGTACTATTAAATAAGATTCATCAACAAAAATAAAAGAATTAATTAGATAGTCAAATAGACCCTGGCTAAAGCTGGGAAATTGCCAGGAAGAAGAAGAAGAAGTCAAATAGACATACAATATCCATTCAAGTTCCCGGCACGCTGCTCTTGAGTCGGAGGGGTGGTGTGGTCAGCCACTGATACCCCTGCCGAAGGCGGAGTCCCTTTCGGGACTCGTGCGTAGTGAGCGGAAGTATGGCTTGCCGTTCACGCTCACTAGTCTACGCACAGCGCAGAGAACGCCGAGGAGTTTAGTGGGTGGAAATCCCACACGCCCCTGTCGTTTAAAAGATTCTCCTCGTTAAAAAAAAAAACAAAATCCATTCAAGTTGCCTTTATATCCTACTTTCAAGATGATTTTATGAAGTTAATTCTTTCAAATGGACATAAGTATATACCTTATGTACACTTATAATATTTTGTTCCACTCATTTTGATATTTACATTAATCAAAATAAAGTCTCACTTATTTTTTAACAATACACAATACCAATTCAGGATGAAAAAAATAATTGTAAAACTCCGTAATAATCTTGAAAGGTTTTTACTGTTTCAAGGACTGTACGACCTTCTTTAGTAAAGTTTACCACCAAAAGTTCGTATTCACTTAAAATTAAAAGATTCTTCATTTTATATTTCTATTTAACAGTTTTGTTTCCAGGAAATTTAAACCTGTATTTTATTCTACGATCTTAACGTATGTATACCATACCATTCTACGATATTAACGAATGTATACTATGCAAAGCGAAGTTAGTCAAGCCATGTCTAAAAAAGCGCAGCAAACATTTTATGTTCTTTCACTAATACAAATTTACGCATTGTTATAAGTCTTTAATCATTATGTGACCTTTATTAAAATAAAGTTAAAAAATGTCTGTAACTTTGCTCCAGGAATTCTTTTTATGTTAATTAATATAGTATTTACGCATATACTTTAAGTCTCATCCTTGAGGAAAGCCTTTTGTCTTGATTGAAAAATGTAACTTCGAAGTCAATTTAACTCTAGGATGAAAGAAATTTATTCTTATTAGACTCATTAAGTCGAAAACAAGGGTGTTAAAACTTTAACCCTATAAGTTTTCAAGATTTGATAACCATCTTTATCACGTAGCACAAGTAAAAGAAAATATCCGAATATTACAAATTTGAATATTCAAATATACAGGGTGACTGGTGAATTACTATCGATATTTAAGGAGCATACTCGGTACATGATTCTCATTCGAATTATGTAAAAAAAATAGGTACTTAATTTTTGACCAAATTTCCGTGTCAATGAATAAAGTGTGTACACGTTCTAAATGTTCCAAGTGTGGACGCGTGCGGCGGCGTGCTGATACAACAACATGCCGCCGCGCGCGAGTGTGTGAGTGTGTGTGTATACCTAATCTGTAGGGTGTTCATACGATGCGTAATTAATTACATAACTTTTGGTTAACTTTACTTAGAAGTTTATTAATATTTATGTTATATTAATTTTTATTTTGTCATATATGATCGTCAAATATCACGTCCTCAAATATCGATAGTAATCCACCAGTCACCCTGTATATACATATACTCGTATATCATAAAGAAATTGCTATTGGCAGAATAACTGTGATCTCTGCCCATATATCTGAACAACAGTATTATAATGGCAACATTGTGGTTTGTAATAAGTAAATTGGTAGTTTACTTATTAAAGTACAAACCAAAACAAGCCAGTAACTATTTCGGGTACAGAACAGTTTGAAAGTAGTAATAAATTTGTTTTATATGTGAACAGACTTAAAATTACCACTTGATAACCTGAAAAGACTTAATATTTGAGTATATTATTTTTCACAAATACCTAAATTTAGTCCAGATTTAAGCATTAAGTAGTAAGTGGAAAGTGGAAGTAAGTGGACTTATATGATATAATTTTTAAATCCATTTTTCTTTTAAAACTTCTCGAATACACGAAGACAGAGATGTTAAAAAATAACCAGCTTAAATAATTTAATTTTTATAAAAGTATCAAAAATTACTCGTCAAGCAAAAATTTTTTGCACTTTGAGTAATTCAATATCATTTGACATGCAATCAAATATTATATTACAACATTCATAGAACCTTTTTACAAACTTTGAATTTGATTACTTGAATGTAAATCGAAACCTTTTGTTGAAACAAAATATAATTGTAAGCGTGTTAATCTTACTTATGTAATGTTTAAATTCAACAGAATAAAGTTATGTAAATATGGAGGTATGTATGTATATATGTGCTTATGAATTGTTATATTATATATTTTAACAAACTTTATGTGAAAAGAATTTTCCTTACACACAGTTTTTTTTTAGGATTTTTTCTACTTTTGAGTTGGTCCCATAAATATATTAATGAACTTGGAAAAGTTATTTTTGTTGTTGACACTTATTTATTACATATTATTTAATGAACAGACAGCACACTTAACATGAACTTTCGATAGCTGGCAAACCAGTACTCCGTTAAGGAAGACGACTCTGCCATTTAATTTTAAAAGCAAAAGACAACCGTTAATTCTCTTCGTTTAAAAAAAAAATAGATTTGTTTCTATTCAGTCTCAATTTGTACAATTAAGCCAGTTATTTATGAAACTTATAGATTTAAAAAACTGCAATGGCTATTATGATTTTAATAATAATAGATATATATAATTTGGCTGTACTCGTGCAGTTATTTTGAATAGGTATCTGTGTATATTATCATAAAACTATTTTTGTTATAAAACTATATGGTTTCCAACCATATTTAATGTTTATAATGGCCAAAGAGAAGAAGGAGAGGATTATCGCTAAGCGACTCTCCCTATCAGAAAGGTAACAAAATTTAAAAATGGGTATGTATATGAGAAGCGTTTTCAAATTTAAATATTTACATTACAGCGTACGTATTTTTTGGCGTGTGAGAACGTGTATGATTTTTTTAAGTATCATGTTATGCGTGTAAGTTGAGAAATGGAAATCTTTGCGACGTCATTCGGAAAAATTTTATTTTCAATAATAAATATTAAAAGCGGAATTGTTAGTCTGTGATATATTAAAAGCAGGTAATTTTTAGTCTGATCGACAGAAATACTACTTCTAACAGTTATTACTACGGCTAAATCTAAAATTCTTATTCGCCTAAGGGCGAAAATATGCTACAATGTTATACATACATATCTAATATAAAGATTTTTTTAAAGATATATTTTGTTATAGATTTAGAAATAGAATTTAAGTATTGAACTTCAAGAAAAATGAATTGTTAGAATTTGTACCTAAAATAATAACATATTTTGTACTTATATCATTACTAAGTATATATAAAAAGATATATTAATTTTCTACTCACTCCGAGACATTAAGAATTTAAAACAATGACAACATTAAGAAAGAATAATTAAATAGTAAAAGTGATTATAAAGAACATGGGCACGTTTTTTTAGATTGTAATGATGTAGATTATAACAACATTTTAAATCATTAAAAAAATTACATTTTAAGTTTTTAACATCCTTCTCAAATAATGTGACTTTTTTTTTGCAGTAATATACAGACAGGAATATTACCACCCGGTGTAAGCGGAGTTTTCCGCCAGGTAATTAGAAGCTATTTGTTTATACTCACAAACATTTTCTTTTAAATAGTTTTTACGTGAACACCTTGAATGAGATATTGTTTTATTTACTACGTAGAAGGGGCCTTGAGAGATTTATTTGCCGTTGTAACAAGAAAGTTTCAATAGATCCATTAAGGATAAACTATACACGTAAGACAAAAACAAAAAAAAAAAGCTGAAAATTTCTTATTTTACATTAAAAATAATCCTGCCATTCACCATATATTACAAAATAAGTATCTAATGATAATGAAAAAAAAAAGTACATAATGCACATCAAAAATATTTATAATATGCCAAAAAAATATGCTTTGTCAGTTTGCTTTTAATATAATGTATTAAAATAAGTTAATATATATTATATGTACATAAATTAATATTAGTGCGTATGACCTTTCCGAGTATAGAAATTGGTAAATGAAAATGTTGCCATATTTAAGGCATTTTCTTAGAAACATCTGATCTCTTTCAGAGTTTGTTAAATATTTAGAAATATACACAAAAACTACAAAAACCTTTAATATAGTTTAATTTCACTTTATATCAATTTCTTGTCTTTTACTTGTTCAGAATTTTTTTTTTCTATTAAGTCTTAATAATAATTAATATAAAGCAAATTTTAATATATTTTAGAAATCTTTTGGAACATGCGACCGACAAATCTCAGCACTGTCGTCGTATGTGCGAGCTGCTTGCACCTTGAACACAGCCGGCAGCATTGGAAATTTATTCACTCGCAAAATGGCTGCCACTGCAAATACTTCATGTCCGTGGCCTAATAGTCAAGAAGATTACGATTTACGTGATGTTATTGGTAAGTAATTGTTATTAATTGAAAAAATATAAGTATCCATTTAAATATTTTTTGGAACCTGATATGATAGTTTATTAATTGTTTAATAGTGATTTTCAAATAAAATTACAAAACAATCGATACAATCTGTCATATTGTATCATGTCATCAAATATTTTCTTGATACTATCAGTACGGGACTTTTACTCAAAATTTTAAAATATTCATCGGATAATATTATGTGTTTTAATCATTAAAGCATCTTAAGAAATAAATTGAAGCATTTTTGTCATTCATTTCCCGGTATGTCACTTGTGCTTCTGTTGACACAGAATCCACTCATTTACAAGGTATTGTAAATGTAAACAAGTCATTACGTGTATTACATGTCGACAACGAAACGTGTTTCGTTCATTATAACATTCCAGTTATAACTCAATTTTATAATTCAGATGTTGTTCCCAAAAGTCAGAAAGTCAATAATTGTGTATAGATTTGACAGGTTAAAAGTATTGTATAAATATTCTTAGTTAGAAAAATTTATATCAATTAGTTATGTACGATAAGTAGAATCATTTGTACACAAACTTAGAAAAACAAAAATCTAAAATCATCCTTCAAAAAATAAAAACACTATCAATGAATTCAAATACAAAAGATCTAAAGGATTTCAAATATTCACTAGACATACTTACAAATATTTTTTTAAATCAATTTTTTTCTGTTCTTTATTTCTCCCCAGGTGTGGGAGCAACTGCTGTTGTATATTCAGCATTTTGTAAACCAAGAAATGAAAAATGTGCTATAAAGAGAATAAATTTAGAGAAATGGAATACCTCAATGGACGAGCTACTAAAGGAAATTCAAGTAAGACAAATTTAAAATAATTTTAAGAAAAGAAAGTGTTTTGTTTTATCACAGACTCTATATTACGACAATGACTAAACAAATTTCTATAGAATATATGCAGACAACTAACTAATCACCTTAAATTTTACAATGATAATACTCTAATAATAAGTGAAAATTATTTATCCAATTTTAACCCTCGTGTGTTTCCTCCTTAACATTTCACACCACAAATAAGTTTGATAAGTGTAATAACATTAAATTATTAAGATACTTAACATTATTGTACCAAATCTTTATTTCCTTTCTACTTGCAATAAAAGATGTTCCATTTTATTTCCAGGCCATGTCCAGTTGCAATCATCTAAATGTTGTCACATATTATACCAGTTTTGTGGTTAATGATGAATTGTGGCTTGTCCTTAAATTATTAGAAGGTAAGCAAAACCCTTTATAATTAATTAATATTAGAATTGTTTTTATATATTTATTATAATTTGTGCAAAGAGCTCAGTTAGTGTGAGTTCATTCATATTATGCATATAACATTTTTATTATATATGAATTTATTTGTATTTTTTGTCTGAACAAGTTTTGTTTGTTTTATAATTGATTCGAGATATTTGTTTACAATTCTTTAACATGTAGAAAAACAGTCTATTTTTATTACCGTCACACAAGTGACCATTTTATAAAATAATTGTATTGAACGTTATTTCCCTATAAGTATTATTTTAAATCTGTGTTGGATAACAACATGTTCTGCTTTGCCATTTATATTATTATTATTTCTTATAAGTGATGGCTACGCTTTTACCTAATTTAAATAATAAGTTACAAATTTTTGGCCAATATTTTCAACATATGCAAAAGAAGTGAAAATTGTATACATTGATGTGTGTAATTTATATTTATTATATATGTACATATTAACTCGTATATTCATAAAGTATCAATTTTATTATTATAATGAACATAACAAAATAATATAATTTCTTAATTTATAAAATATGAATATCTTGTATATTACACTACTTTAGTTTAGAATGGTGTAAAAAGAATTATAATAGGTATATAAGCATTAAGATACTTCAACTCATAAAGCCAATGACTTGCTTGTATAACTTATACATTCCATTCTCGATCAATAACTTCATTATAATTATTCTTTGTTCAATAAGTGTCCCAGGTTAATTTCTATTTATTATTTTCAATAGTTGCTATACTCATAATCTGAATAATGAAAAAGTATAATTCAAAATCAGATGGAATCTGCAATAATTGCAGTGTTGGTTTCAAACAAAGTCTGATAATGTGGAATATTTTAAATTTAAAATTGTTGTAAGTATTAAAAAGTACAATCTCTTGCAAATAGGAAATTTGTGATACATGATGTTTTAGTTATTTTATTGACTGGTGTTGTAACAACATTTTTTTCTTACACTTTTTAATTTGTAGGTCAGTGTGATTATTACTGTTTAGTATTGACGATTTTATGACTATGTTTACATAAAAATGTTTGACTTGGATAGAAATAACACATATGGAACATAAAATTTTCTTTAAACCAGATGTATATTATGTTGGTTCAGTCGTGTTTCTGTGAAGAGGCTAAACTGGTAGAGACTGAATTTTAAAAATTAAAATTAATCAATAATTTTCCAATGAAACACGACGATATCATTGAGTTTTACATAATTAGAAGAATTATTAAGAATGCTTCTTACAAGTATTTAGTTATAATTAAATAAATATCACTTATATAAACAATATTTAACTTATATACACATTTTTGAATGAAATTGTTAATAGGTCTTCATTAAACTATCATCAGATTATGGACAGAAGTTGTTATAACATGTATAATTAATTTGAGTTGTGCGTTGAGTTTGTGACTAATTAGATCATTAATATTTGGTGATTTGCTTGTAGTAACATTTTTATTTATATCAAATGGAATTTTAGTTATCTATATACAGGGTGACTGGTGAATTACTATCAATATTTAAGGATATGCTCCTTATCCTATCGGTACATGATTCTCATTCGAATTATGTAAAAAAAATAGGCACTTAATTTTTGACAAAATTTCCGTATAAATAAGTAAAGTGTTGACACGTTCCAAGTGTTCAAGTGTGGACGCGTGCCGCGGCGTGGTGATACAACACCACGTCACGACACGCGTATGTGTGAGTGTCAGTGTATACCTAATCTGTAGGGTGTTCACACGATGCGTAATTAATTACATAACTTTTGGTTAACTTTACTTAGAAGTTTATTAATACATATTTATGTTATATTAATTTTTATTTTGTCATATATGATCGTCAAATATCACGTCCTCAAATATCAATAGTAATTCACCAGTCACCCTGTATATAAAAGAAAGTCGTGTTAGTTACTCCACTTATAACTCAAGAACGGCTGAACCGATTTAGCTGAAACTTTACTTTACTTTAGGGAGGTAGTTTAGAGCCAGGAAATTGCAGTAGGATACTTTTTATCCCGTTCGACAGCATTCCCGTGGGACTTGACATGAAACGTCAGTCACTATAAAACGTGGAATAACGAAACACAATTGACAGCTATGCAATTGACGTATAATGACAGATATGTAATGACGTAATGATGACAATTAGATATTTGTAAGAGATCTACTGTATAAAAATAAGCCCGGTTTTCCATCCTAACACTATAACTTCAGAACGAACGAACAATTTTCCACGGTTTTGCATTCGTCGGAAAGGTCTCGGGCTCCGTGAGGTTTATAACAAAAAATTTCAACAGAAAAGCCGGAAAATCTTTTTTCACATACAGCGCCATCATACATAACATGTACTACAAATCAATATTTTCAGTAGATGGCGCCGGTGTATGATACATTGTTTGACAGCTAATCATTGTTCTCTGCTCAGTTAATTTCATGTGACAAATCGGTATTGAGTTTGTAGTTTGAACTCTTAAAACCATTTAGTATTTGCGGGATAAATTTAGATAATCATTGTTTTTCATATGGGCGTTATATGTTGCGTGTTCACGAGTTTGGAAACCATCCGCTTTATTTGTGTTAAAGTTAGACCAAAAACAAAGAATGTGGCTTAGAAAGGACAACTTCAATGAAACGGATAATTTGTGGACACGTATAACGTTTCGATTCGGTATCTACTTTGGATTCACTTTCATTTACTTAGAAAAGTTCAACTGAATAACACTTCATTTTTGTAATCGAAATGAATTTATTATTGTTGTGAAATGAAATAAAAAATTTCCTTTTCAAATATAAAACAAATAAAATTCTTCATCTTCTGATCACCTAACGAAATGTTATATAAAAGCCTTCTGGTGGCGAAACGGAGTTCGCCGGTTTTACTAGTTAATAATAATTGTTTCAAGAAAAGATTCTTAAAAATAAGGCAGTCTTTTTTTTGTTTTATATTCATACTATAAATAGGGTTTACATAACATTAAACTTTCAATTTACTTCCCCGTGTTTCATAGCAAATTTCTCACCTCCTTTTGTTTCGTCAAAGTTTAATTTTAATGATTAAATTGGGATTTATTTTAAAGTATATAACTTTGTAAGATGATGCAGAAAGATATTACATTTTGTACATTAATCCATATTTTTTACTTGTCTTCAAAAAGGTCGTGTAGAAGTAGATGGATTTATATAAAAACATTTGTTCTTCTTGACCAGTTAGCGAAAATTCATTAGCCACTTAACATGCTATGATTATTATTAAAAAACTTTCTTTATTAACGACTTATAATGCTAGTAGTTATAATATAGTAGTACTATCTACGTAAATAATTATTTTGTTTATTTTTTTATCTATTTTTTCCACTTTTGTTTTCCACTTTCTTACTTTGTTGTTATCATAAATGTTAATTTTTTTAATTATGTATCAGGTTTTGTTGCATGTGAAAAAAGTTTTGCTGACATGTTTTAAGAACATTGTGTAATATTTCTTTTGTTTTTCAACACATATATTTTTTGTTATTTGTAACATTATATTTGTGTCATATTTTGCATTTTCATTACTTTTATACTTTTTGTCGACATATGCTGAATCCATATTGACTGTTTCACAATGTTTTATTATTGATATTATTATACTTGGCTCTTCGTTTTTCGTCTACTCTTCTGATTAATGTGTTCTGAAAAAAGAACTTTTAAAACATTGTGAATTCGCTTTTTTATGTTTTCTCCATCTTCTATCTTCTTCTTCTATATATATAAAAATGGATTGCTGTTCCTTAGTCTCGCTAAAACTCGAGAACAGCTGAACGGATTTATCTTATCTTAGTTTTGAAATGTTCGTGGAGGTTCAGGGAAGGTATAAAAGCTGAAAAAAATTGATTCTGTGGCGAACGCGACACTTACATATATAATAAAACATTATATATATATGTATATACATTAATATAATATCTCATATGTATTTTGTTACAATAAATAATACTTTATATATATATATATATGAATATAAATATTTGTACTTTAAATTATATAATTAATTAAATAAAAATAACAATTATGTAAATGACGGAAGGCGGTCGCGTTCGCCACAATTCATTACTGGGAAAACCATAAAAACAGCCCTTTTCTATTTCCCATACAAACGTTTTTTTTGACATTAGATTTGACAACTAACTAATATGTCAATCATTCTGTCGCACTTCAAAACACGGAGATTTATGCCTTACAGGTAAACTCCAAAAAATTCAAATAAAAAAACGTAATAGATATTTCTTGATTATAGGGCGATACGAAGTTCGCCAGTTCTTCTAGTATCTAATAAATACTGTAAATTTTGGTATATGTTAGGATATGTATACATGAATATATGTTTCTAGTTAAAACCGGTTTTGAGTATTACAAACAGACACTTTTATTTGTACAGATGTCGAATGCCTTTATTGCTTTGGAAATACATTTTTTAAAATCTTTCGTAGGCTTAGTGACCTTTGCATAACATTTAATGAAAGTTCTTTATCTGAGGGTCGTATAAAAACGTGATTTAAAATATTATGTACATATTTTGAAGAACACGTTTCTGAATTTTATTTGTATAAATTTCCTTGTAGCTGTCGATTGGTTAAGGTTAATTGGTTATTGTCATTCTAGGTTGAAATCACTTATACTTTACAACGTAAATAGTACATAGATTAAAATCCGTAAGATTAGACTCGGTTGTTACACTAACTAATTGTTATGGAATAATCACCTAACTTTGTGTTAAAATATTCTTAATGCTTCATTTCATAATGTAGACTTCATATTTTACTACCTAAACTCCTATTTCTGTTCTTTTATAAAATTTTATGAAATAGACATCCCGGAAAGAATTTTGAGAGAAAAGTTTCATGCTTAACAATTTGCTAATTCGCATTAATTAACAATACTATTTGTTTTATGTAACGTTTAAATTAAATT